AAAAGTCCACAATATAAAGTAATACGCCAACAAATCATCATCGTCGACTGAATGTTACACAAAAGATTGTTGAGTTTATTGAATTTTGTCTGAGATCTGAAAGGTATTTAAAACTGGTATATGGTGACGGTGTGGGGGTGAAACTAGGTAGAAGATTCCAGGGGAAGATTGATTGGGCAATGAGTGTTCTGGCAAACTGGTAATGGGACCAACCATTATGCGACAAATTGAACGGGACACTCACAATGCTATTATTATTAAATATAAATCCATTGACAACATCTCAACAAACTACCAATCAAATGAATTTACATTTATCATTTCTTGTTAATATTCATTCCCAGTTTTATGTCCGTATTATATTTCTTCCAAGTGTTACACAGCAATGATTTTTGTACCTACAAAGCCATGTACAATGCAATTGAATATTCCAACTACCCCTCGTTCGTCGTGGCCACACATCAAAGGCATACCGCATCCTGTGTTTTGGTTTACTGTCACACGATCGGGTATGTAACTTTATTGCGTCTACAAAGGTCGTTGGGGCGTCTAGGAAAGTGTCTGGGGATGTTGCAAAGTCCCTCGGTAATTACCTACCATGTGCGGGAGTTAGGTGTATATAAATATCTTGCGCCCACTGTAAACATATTTCATAGATATATCAGATATGTGAATATAGGGACAGATGCCGCTTTTAACCAATGATGCAACAGTACTCCACATAAATCAAGATATTAACTAACACACAATACATGGAAATTACAAAAAAGATGTACGCATGCATGGTTCCCACCTAACTGATTGCCCCAAAAGATGCTTAATTATTAACCAGGCTAAACATTATTGTTAAACATTATTCAGTGAATGTAAACATATTAATGTATGATTGGTCCAATGATTATAACATACCATGTATATTGAAAATAGCAATCTCTCCTGATGTACTATTAGAACCAAAATGAACACCAGACACCAGTAACAACGTATCAGATATGTTAAATTCAGAAATCTGTGTATACTGCCATCGTAACAGTTTTTTCATATCACGTGTGTACTTCAAAGCACATGGGTGTTTGCTTGTCCACACCTGGAAAATATAAATAAATCTTTTCAAATCATTTTTCTGTTCATGAGACAAACCATTCAAATATTTATTTTGATGGATGTAAGAATGTATAGCACAATATCTGAGTAAAAATCACACTTTCACATGTGCAAGTTTTTCTTAACTGTAATTTCAAGACAATAACGTAATTTACATGTAATCTGTATATGCTTCATTCATAATGACAAAATTTATCATAGGACACCAACAAAACTTTTCCAGACTAGCAAATCTTGCAAAATTTGTCTCTTGTGTAAAAGCACTTTACAGTAATTAAGTTTATTCAAGTCAAATTGTTGTACATTCTATGTATACATAAATAGTACTAATATTTGTCAAGATGCCAAGTCAATAATTTGTACAATTAATGTATACATACATTATACTTCATTCTGACATGATTCTAACATAAATTTATTTGGTTACCCTTTGATTCTTAGTCATGATATTGTACATTTTATGTATATGTAAATTATACAATATTTAGGCATTGAATCCTATGCAAAAAGTCTGTACATTTCTAGTATACAACAAATATACATTAATGAATTTGTATAAAGTGTGTATACAAATAATGTACTGCTGTTTTCTTGTATGTTTGAATTTTGTATACAAATAATGTACACAATTTCACAAAAGTATACTTTTTGTACAGATTATGTATACAATTAATATACTATTGGAGCGTACAATTTGGTAAGGGAAGTAACTTCATATACAACTTGCTACCACTTTACTATCAAGTCACAACATTTTTTCAAAATATTAATGAAGGTAATGTCGGCATTACGGTACATACCTTAATACTGCTATCTTTGGATGATGATGCAAACAATTGACCACTGTGAGAAAAACTCACATGTAATACTTGATCAGAATGTCCCTTTAATACTTGTGACAGCTGTGATGGTACATGGTATTTCAATCGTTTATACTCCTTGTAGTAGGAAATGCACTTTGACGGCAATGCTAAGGTCTCATCTATCTTCAGTTCTTTGTATAGTAGTTGTTTCCATAGCAACTCATCTTTGCTGACATAGAACCAATGTTTACAAACTTGACAAACACAGAGTAAATCTTTTGATGTAAGATAGGAATAGATATGCAAAAGTAGACTGTCTGGAAGACATAGCCCTATGTTATCCTCCATCACTAAAAAATATAAAACATTGCTATGTTAATGCAAGTAATGCAACTAAATATAGCAGAAAGTTAAATGGCTGAGAATGTGTTTGGGTTTGAGGTTTTTATAAACATACAAAGCCTGTAGACATCACCATTCTATGGTTTCACAGTGTACACATGTTAAATAAATCATTTTGTATATAGGAAAAGAATGGGCAAATGATCTGTACAAATTGCACCAGATTCATAGTTTGATGACATTTCTCAGAAGCAATTAAAATGGTTACACTAACTATTAGAACACATAATTAAAACAAACAAATTCTAAAAAAAATACTATCTAAAGAAGGATAAGCTATTGAAAAAACTGACGATAATTATAAGAAGAAAAAAGTAACATAAAGCTATAAAACAATGAACATAGTGGAACTCTGGTGACCTTGCCCTTTGTTATATAATATAACTGACTCTTAAAACAAAACGACAAAAGTTTAGGTGAATTGCTTCTACACTTGATATTTATGTGTTTTTGTGGCCTCAGATGTCACATCATCTGTTTAATCACTTGTATGAAAAACAGCTATTTCTCAGTAAACTAGACAATATATTCAACTCACTGATGATGCAACATTTTGCACATTTTTCTATATTTTCCAATGAATGGAACACAAATGGAACCTTCATACAGGTTTAATTAAAAGTATTATCATAAAAGATATCCATGACATGCTTATCGCTATTGATAAAAAAGCAATTTTCCAATGGGCAATATATCGATCCCATTTTTAAGCAAAGAAACCAGGTGATGTCTTGGGTGATTCCACAGGGCTCCAAATTAACAATAGTGCAAGACACACAGACTACCAAATCTAGTCTTACATTGGTAGCCCAAACTATTACCAGAAATTATTCAGTGAGTTTCATTCACATATTGACAACTGCCATTTTTTTTTATTCACACTTTCCCACATGGCTGTAAGTACCTTTAAATCTACAAATATTATCATGGAACTGCTAAACAGACTTCCAAAATTTAATTTCACACCATGTTCAATATATTGTATAAATATACAAATTTAAATAACAGATTCAAATACCCATAATACTCAGCTTTCAATATTCACTTGCAGGTTTTTTTCTAGAAAAAAATGAACAAGAGCATGCACAGGCTCGCCCAGGATCGCCCTGGAAACGCCATATCAGAAGGTTAAAACGGTGCATCTATTGCATTAGTGTATTTGGTGTCCAGACACATTGTCAGCTGGTGTTGCTGGGAAGTTTTCAGAAAAATATATTTGAGAAAGATTTTATGTTGTACGGCAGCACGGAAGTGCATGGCTCAAGAAATATATTCATGACTTGAAAGTTCAATGGGCAATTCTGTAAGAGGGTGCCAGCCGAGATTATCAGGATGCTGCGCCCCTATTCCCCGGTTTAGAAAAAACCCGACTTGTATAAGTCTATATATATATATATCCTCCAAACCAAATATTAGCATATTCCACAACATTAATATATTCACATCTTGAAGTACAAGCACTGTGTTAACCACTATAGAGGAAGATCTCAGACTAGTATACTAGTATAATATTATTTTTTTCACTTAAATAAACATGCACTTGTGCAAATAATTCTATGTGCCATTGCCACATGTGCATTATAGTGCATAGATCAGATCAGATCAATAGAAGCCTTCTCATTAGTTGACAGCTTAAACTCACATTAATCATTACCATATCGAAAAAAATGTGACAATTATAGTGTAAATGTTGCAACATATATTTTATAAATTCTTTCTTATAAGCAATTATCAAAAAAAAACAATAAATCTCATCTCGGACTTCTGCTTGTCTCACACATCTGCTTTCTCATTGGTTCCTTTTTTGTTTTCTTGCTACAAAAAAACAAACATTCTGCTTCTTCCAACACATGATGTAGTGTTGTATATATAAAACTTTTTTTTCACTTAGGGATTGGTCAGTTACTTCGGCCTAGGGGGGGGGGGAGGTCGGTGGATCAGTAGGGGGGTTACCCTGTTTTTGATTGTGCGAATAGGGGGGATCACCTTGTTTTTGATATCATGAATAGGGGGTCACCATGTTTTCCAGAATTCACATATGCGCTCATGCATATATTTTTAAAATTTTTATTTCAGAACATTGATAAAAAAGTTAATCGTACAAATGTGTTCTTAATAATAACTGTTACCTATATTGCCTATAAATTTGCTGATGCAAAAAATAACTAACAGATTATGCAATGCGGCTAGATTCCATGTGCTGCTGATATCAGATTATTTTATTTAAAGTCTGAAGTCACCATTGTAGGTATTCACTAAAACGAAGGACCGCGAAGGACCGAAGGACCGAAGGACCGAGCCGAAGGACCGAAGGACTTAAACGGGCGTAATGACTATAAACCGCTGATAAAAATAACGTTGATATACGTTGCATTTTGTCGGAGATTAATATGAGCGAACGAACTCAAATATATTATAAATATAATCGTGATTACGTGGCAAATATGAGCGAAGGACCTCGATTATATTATAAATATGAGCGAAGGACCACGATTATATTATAAATAAGAGA